GGGAGAGCACTTTTCTCTCATGGTCCGGCCCCCACAGCAGGGACCACAGGGCTCTTCCCGCCCTACCCCCCACAGACCTAACCAAAGGCACCATCAGGAGGGGCCTGACAGTGGAGGACCTCATCCTGACCGGCATCACCTACCTGGACACGCGCAGCGACTTCTGGCGGCAGCAGAAGCCCATCTACGCCCGGGAGCGGGACCGGAGGCTGATGCAGGAGCGGTGGCTGCGGGACCGCAAGCGAGACCCCGCTGAGACCGCCCACTACGTCCTCAAGAGCCTGGAGGACATTGACATGTGTAGGCGGTGATCCCCAGGGGTTGGGCAGCCGCCTCCGGAGGGCCTGGACCCTGGGCCCTGGTCAGGTGGGGTCACAGGCGCCACTGACCCCTTGTAGGGGAGGGGAGGAATGAAGCCCTGCACACCCCCTCCGCCCTCCTCCCTGCCTCCAGTGCTGACCAGCGGCAGTGCGGAAGGCAGCCTGCAGAAGGCCGAGAAGGTGCTGAAGAAAGTGATGGAGTGGGACAAGGAGGAGGTGCCCAACCGGGACGAGCTGGTGGGGAACCTGCACAGCTGCATCGGCAACGCCCAGCTGGAGCTGGGCCGGATGGCGGCAGCCCTGCAGAGCCACCGAAAGGACCTGGAGATCGCCAGGAACTAGTGAGTGTCACCGGGGACTAGTGAGCACTGGCAGCCAGCTAGCTGGCAGAGGAGGGGGCCCAGGGTGGCAGCTGGGCCTCTGCCAGGGCTGCTGGTGACTTCGGCTCCCGCCCTGGGGCCCCTCCCTTCTGCCTTGCACACTTGAGAGAGAGGTACCTGGCGGTGAGGGCCTCTGACCCAAGACTGAGGGCAGCGGGCAGAGCCAGTGTTCAGCCGAGGGTGGTGAGTGACTCAGGCTTCCGAAGGCTCCCAGCAGGCAGCGGGCCCATCAGTCATCTCAGCAAGCCTCAGCCCCCGCTGTGCTGTGAGCAGACACAGGGGCATGCCCTGCAGAGGGCACACAAGGGGCAGGGCTTGCAGATCCCTGCCACTGTGAGACGTGCCATCAAGAAAAAGCACAGCCCAGCGCTCGCTGTGGAGACCTGGCCCAGGAGGACCGGCTGGGGGTCAGGGATGAGTCCTGGGCTGCCAGCAGGCTGGGGACGGGAGTGTGAGATAGAGGCTGGCAGGCCTGGTCAAGCAGAGCAGGGATTCTGCAGTCAGGCAGACCTGAGCTTCGGGACCTGCACCTCCTGGCACTGGGCCCTCCGGCAAGTGATGGTGCCTCCCTCTGCCTCAGTGTCTCCTCCATGAGAGTGTCACCTCCCGCTCGGGTGGGGGGAGTAGTCCCACGTGATGCAACAGTGAACATGTTCAGCTGCTTAATGGGGGGTGTGTGTGTGTCTGTGTGTCTGTATGTGTGTGTGTGTGTGATGTGCGTGTGTCTGTGTTCATGTGTGTCTCTGTGTGTGGTGTGGATGTGTCTGTGCTTGTGTGTGTGTCTGTGTATGGTGTGTGTGTATGTGTGTCTAGTGGTGTGTATGAGTCTGTGGGGGGGGGAAGGCCAGCCCCCCACAACTAATCAGGGGTTCGATAGGCACAGTTATAAGGTTAAGATATATACATATAGATGATAAAGTCGTAGAGCACGAGAGACAGAAGAGAGACTGAAATAATGGAGTCAGACACATTTCATGGTAGCATGCTCACCTCGGCCCCACTTGTTGGTCCACTTGTTGGTCCGCGTGAAGATGGGAGACCAGAGGGCAGGAGAGAGGGGGAGGGGAAGGAGGACAAAGGGAAAGGGAACAGGGGAGCTAGGAGGGGGAGAGGGAGGAGGGGAAGAGCAGAGCTTCTTTATTGCTAACCAAGGCTTATACGTCTTTGGGGGATATGCAAGCCCCCTAATTACAGGTAAAGACATACCATACGTCACAGAAAGGGGTTGCACTATAGGTAATACAGTAATGAGTGGGGGACAACCTAGGGAAATACATACAACAGGAAGGGGAGGGACTGGGGGCACACATGTGACAAGATGGGCGGATCCAAGATCAGGATGGCAGCCTAACTTTGGACGGCACTGAGCAGGTTTGACTTGTTCTCTGGCTCTCCATGGAAACCATTATCAGTAGGGTGTAAACCCCACCTACAGGGACCAGACTGATGGCCATAAGCCTTTAGGGAGAAGTAACCCATTGTTCTAAACAGCAGGAAGTGGGCCAAGCCTGTCCTTAACAGCAGGGAGTGGGCCCTACCTGTGGTGGGACCAGAAAGTGGCTTAATGCCTTCAGGGAAGATGTCTCTAAGCATCTGACCTCACAGTGTGCTGGCAATTAGCCTCTAATGTTTGGTGTATCTTTGGAGGGGGGAGGGGTGTCTCTTTATAATCCCACGATTCCCCTTTTTGTTTTATATATAAAATGTAAAAGAGCGAAATTAGCTACACGGCTATTTTCTATACATGGAAAGCTGTCAAGGCAAATTCAATGACCAAATTAATATTAGCTAAGCCAAAAACCCAGGCTTATGGCAAATATTTTAAATCCAGGTATGGGGGATAAAGCCCTCCTATGCCCATCTGTTATTGGAGGAAGGTAGGAGAGGGATTGGATGCCGCGGCAGGAAGAAATAGAGCCAATAAGAATGTCTGCTTCTATAGGGAGATAGAACCAACCATTTGCTTACTTTAAGGGAGCACAGCTTTGAGGAGAGGAACCGTGGAAAGGATAGATAGACTACCGCAGGGAAATGTACTCGGACTATATCTCCAACTACCAGAGTGACGGCTTTCCTGCCGCGGA